CTGCTCCAGTCCTACCAATAAACATTTTTTATACAGATCCAACCTTGCCATTCCTCCATTGTTAGGGTCCCATTGAGGATCTACCTCTGGGACAGCAATCTGTGGCTCTGGGGATTGGCTATCCTGTTGGCGGAGACGTGCAGCCTCCTCCCTGGCTCTCCTCACTACTATCCTCCGCTCATCTAGACCTAGTAAAACTTGTAACATCATCTGTATATCTGCCCAGTTAGGGCAGTGGGAGAGAAAAACGGAGGCAAACAAGTCCGCCATCCTCTTAGGAGCCTGCCGGTACGGGGGAACAGAGTTCTTCCAAGTTTGGAGGTCCCCGGTGCAAAAAGGACGGTGCGACCAAAAGTACCCAGCAGGTCTCCCCTCTTCATTCACGCCACCTATCGGCAGCTGGCGAAGAGGAAACTGTCCTGCCACAGAGCGGTCGTTACTGCCAAAATGGGTGCCGCTCCTAGTGTGGGGAGGAGACGCCATGATAACTACCTCCCTGGAGGGCAATGGAGGCTGTGAAGCCTCAGGAATCTGTACGGGAGGGGCCTCAGGAGGGGCCTGGTCACGTGGTGAAGGCCCTTGTCCTGAAGCCTCAGGAGTCTGTGCGGGAGGGGCCACTTCACGTGGAGAAAGCCTTTGTCCCGACGAGTTTAAGGTATTTAGCATATGAATCTCTTCCTCCTCTTCTAAGTCTGCCTTTTTGCAGTCCTCATGGGAAGGAGAACATTTATCTCTTCTCTGCATCATTACTCTAGCCTTCTTCTGCGTCATATCCCATTCATGGAGGGCGGCCTGTATCTGGTCCTGCACACTTTTAAAGGCAGACTCAAAAACGTTACGATTTTCGTCCCTCACACTGCCAATAGCTGAATCAAAAACCTGATTTTGTCGTTGCACTTGATCCTGTATACTTTGAAAAGCTGACTCAAAAGTCTGATTTTGTTGTTTCATCGCTAAGTTAAGAGCTTGAATTTGTTGTAGCACATTCTCAGTATGTGAAGTACCACCACTACTTCTCATAGAAACAAGAATGTAGCACATGGCGCCTATGCACATTACCAAAAAAACACCTAGAAGCACAGACTGCAAAGGGATGGCTTGGAAACCATTCACATATGTATACAGAATTAAAATCATGTGCCATAAGCTAGGTCTAATCCAATTATTTACACTTATCAAACTGGTGGTAATATTTAATGGAAAAAGGCTACTTAAATTCAAGGCCGGAAAAAAACTGAAAGAACTCAAGTTAGGGATTAAACTGCTGAAGTTCATGGTTGAGGCCACGTTTGGGTCAAAACCACACCCACAACAGCCGTATGAGCAGAGAAAAAAAAAACTTTTCAAGACGTGAAACAAAGAGTTTCACTGCGAGTCCTGCAGACCTAATGCGCTTTTATGGTGACCAACGCAAGAAAAATTACTTTGGGCTGGTCAACCACGGGTGAAACTTGCAAATCACGTTTGGGCGCCAAGCTGTTATAGAGCAACCCCGATATTAAACGGGTTCCTGGCTGTGGGTCCTCACCCGCGCGCTTTAAAGGGACTTATGAATACTCTACTACAGACACACACAAAAGGGTTAATAAAAGGTTTATTTACAAGAGAAAAAGAAGTAAGGAAAATGTACAACTCAGGGAGAAAATAGGGAAATAAAGTCTTTAATGCGTCCTACCCGATCCGACGACCTGGAAACCCAAAGTCACTCCCAGAGCTGGCCGGACGCTGCGAGCTGGCCGAGAGCCAAAATGGAGAGAGCCCCTAAGCCCACGTGTCTGCCTTTTGTATCCACCTGGCTGCTTAACCCCACCCTCAGGTCCCAGCCACCTTCCCTTTGGTGGTGATGGGATTTGGAGTTCCCAGTGTCTTTGGCTTTGACCTGGGGTGGGGGTGGAGTCCACAAAGCCTGTATGGAATTTGCTTTGGGACAGCCTTTTCCCCCTAACATCCTCAGCTGATCCAAGTGATGGTCATGACATCCAAAACTTCCTTGTAGGAGAACAAAATATACCACCCCAAAATATGCCACCACATTTTGAAAAAGCATTTAACAAGTGAGAAAAATAATCAGTATTCCTCATATGTAAGTTGATTATTGATTAAGAAGTACTGGTTTAACACTAATCTCTTGAGAATTTGGCTGGTATAGGTCATCCTCTCCCAGGTATCTGCTTATCCCTAAATGCAATGGAAAATTGCAAAGCTAAGGTCCTGCTCTGGGAATATGATGAACAACAGAGATTCGTTGACTACTCATTGAAGCCAGAATTCTAGAAAGGTATGCAGCCACCCAACTGAAAATGCTGATCCCTTGGTTTTCTGTCTCATAATCTCTTGGTTGGCGTCATGAAACAACACAGCAGGCTAAAGAACATAAGGTACACCCCACCAACTGGGAGAACATTTTTGCACCCAACACTAATGATAAAGGACTGATCACAAAAATCTGCAAAGAGCTGATGAAACTCAACAACAACAAAGAAAATAACCCAGTCAAAAAATGGGCAGAAGAGCTAAAAAGAAACTTCTCTGAAGAGGAAATGCAAATGGCCAACAGACATATGAAAAAATGTTCAACATCACTTGTCATCAGGGAAATGCAAATCAAAACTACCATGAGATACCATCTTACACCAGTGAGAATGGCACATATTAAAAAAACTAGCAACAACAAATGTTGCCGAGGTTGTGGAGAAAAAGGAACTCTCCTGCACTGTTGGTGGGAATGCAAACTGGTCCAACCACTATGGAGAGCTGTGTGGAGATTTCTGGACCTACTAAACATAGAGCTTCCATATGATCCAGCAATTCCACTCCTAGGTATTTACCCAAAGGACACAGAAACATCAATTCCAAAGAACACCTGCACCCCTATGTTTATAGCAGCACTGTTTACAATAGCTAAGCTTTGGAAACAGCCCAAATACCCAAAAATAGATGACTGGATCAAGAACATGTGGTACATATATACCATGGAATATTACTCAGCATTCAAAAAAGATAAACACATGCAATTTGCAGCAACATGGATGGCGCTGGAAGGGATCATGCTCAGTGAAATAAGCCAAAAAGAAAAAGAAAAATACCGGATGGTCTCACTCATAGCAGGAATCTAGAAAACTTAAATAAGGGATCAGGAAAAAGAATAACTATAAGAAAGTGAAAATCAAAATCAACAAAAAACTATGAACCAGAGACACTTTTTGGGGGGTGGGGGCCGGGAGGGGAGGGATAGGGGTCAGAATGGGGCATGTGCAGTTGTATGGGGGAATATAAAAATAAAATTTATTATTTAATAAAAAAAAAATAAAGAACATAAGGTACTTGAATGTTTGCTCTTATCTGGAATCATTTCATGGCTAGAGTCATTAAACAAGCAGGAAGCTAAAAAACACAAGGTACTAACACTTGAATGTTGGCATTTCTCCTCCCCACAGCTGCCCTAGGCAACTTACGTGAGTTAAATATTTTTCTCACTCTGTATATCTCTTCTCAACTTTACAAACAATTTTCATGGACTTTACTTATTTGTGTTCTCAATAGGCCTTTCACCAACTTACTTTTCATGCCAATAAAATTTAAGTTTTACCCATTCTTAAAAAGAGCTGCATTTTGAAGTCCTCTAATTCCATCCTATTTCTTTGCTGAGTGAAAATGGTTTTTACCATATCAAATTCCTTTGTTCTAATATCTTCTACTTAATGTGCTATTTTTCAAAAAATTAATTCTTTAACCCATCTAAAGTACATTAACCTCCCTAGAGACATTTGTTACAAATGAGTCCAATAGTTACCTCTGTCAGCCAGTGGCTTATGGAGGTCTTTTATTTTTTTTTTTAATTTAAAAAAAAATTTAAATATTTTATTTTACATAATTCTTACATCATTTTTTTCATCTTTGCACAATGCATTTTCATTTTGGTTATATTCTCCATACAATTGCACCCCCCATTATTTTGATTCTAGTCCTTCCTCTCCCTGCCCCTCCCCCCTCCCCAGTGTGTCTCTGGTTTATAGTAGCTTGTTGATTATTATTGTTACTTTGTATTGATTAGTCTTTTTCCTGGTCTCTTATTACGTTTTCTAAATTCCTGCTATGAGTGAACCATCCGGTATTTTTCTTTTTCTTTCTGACTTATTTCACTGAGCATGATCCAGAAGGTCTTTTTTAATCTTTGGAATTTATAGTTTCCATTCAGGTGACACAGCCTACTGTATTTGAAATCCCGTCTTCCAGAGCTAGGGAGAGGAGATGTTTGATGGGAATTGTTGTGTTTATTTTATCAAAGTTAAAATCAAAGTCCAGCCAAAGGATAGGATAGGTAGAATACCAATTTTAATTGAGCACATACTATGGACCAGGAACATGGAATATGTTTTATACCTAGTCAGTTGTGCCCATGTCCCCAAATCTGGGTAAGAACACAACACATCACCACAATCAATGTCTAGATCACAAAATTTCCCCCATATTAGCATACAAACATTTACACTTTCACTCTCATCATACACATAAACATACTTCATACTTCATACACCTTAAACCTACACATAGCACAAATTACATCCAAACCTAATCTATATCACACACACCCATATTATATCACCTATACCAACCACACAACACACACTCTGCAGGCACAATAGATACAAATGTTACACACTTATTGGAGTGATAATTTATTTAGAGAAAGGAAACTCATTAAGCTTGGGTAAATATATGGAGAGACCATATCAGAAAATTTTCTGGCTCAGTCAATAAGAAATGCCATATGAGTTGAAAAAAATATAGAAATGAAATTAAGGGGGGGAAATGCAGGAATAAATCAGATAAATGAGGGTAGAGGATATTCCAGGTAGAAAAACAACATAGGCAAATCATGCTATCTAGCAACGATGCAAAACATAAGTCTAGGTAGCATTGGCAAAAATATGCAAAGTAGTTAACATTTGGTAGAGACACCACTTGGTAAGCACTGAACACTCTACTGAAACCTAGGGATGTGTGCAGACATTCTATTTTCTGATACTCCGAAACAACCGGGTGTCCTCTATGCTATCAACAAACCCACTCATGCCACAATGGAATTCAATATAGCTGTAGCTCCTGCTCTCTTTGTAGATATTTCTCTTCCCCCCTTGGTAACACTTGAGTATTTTGAAGGGATACTGGGTCCATATATATACATTTCTGTAGCGATCTCTCCAGTTCCTATTGCATATTTGCTCGATTTTGTGCCATGTGGTATAGATGAACATCTGATAGTTGTCTTTTGGAGTTCTTTTGTCCCTCATGAGATCATTGCATCTGTACTTGTCAAATTCCCAGCTTGTGCTCAGGTGGTGCTGTTTCATAAATTCTCTCCAGGAAAGGCTCTGGCTGTGTATAAGGAGTCCACATAGAGGGAACAGCAGGGCCAAGAAAGGGCCTAGGACTTTTAGGGAGGATGGCATCTCTGTTATCAAGGTCACCTGCTGGTCCACAGGGAAGAGAGAGGAAAACGTTATCTAGGTACTGCTCTAAGAGTCATGCCTGACCTTGAAGTGCATTTTCCTGCTAGTGTATGTGGTGCTTGGGTCCAACTTTATTATTTGTTTCCTAGACTAAACAATGATATCTCATTAGATAATAACACTTATAAGAACTGGAAGTATGCTAGACATATTTTGAGTGCGACAAGAACAAAATTAAAAAAGATATTTTGAGACTTCCAAATATCACCTGTTTCTATTCTCCCCTCTATGCCCTCTATTCTCCCCACAATGGGAATCGGTCACCACTAGTTAGCTCTGTTTTATAACCCAGATCAAATCTCAGAAGAACATGTGTCCGAAAAATATGATATTTAAAATTTTATGTCTGTGAAGTGGAAAAGGTTGCCACCTTCTAAAGGAATGTAGAAGACGAGTGAAGATGCTGAGATGTTTTGTAAGGAGGAAGGCTTCACTTCCCTGAAAACTCTGAGCAATACTTTAAGAAGGGCAATTGCTTATACCACTTCCCTAAACCTGTGGGAAACACATTATCACCCTGGGGCCTCCTTGGTGTCACAAGGGTTAATATGATTCTCAACTCTCTGAGCCCTCATGTCCTCAAATGGACCTTATAACAGATACCTCATAGGCCCATGAGAGTCTCATGAAATATCTGAGGATGCTGAGTGCAACACACCCAGGACAGAACAAGGGGTAAACACTTTCTCATTTGTGGCACCCTTATTCTTCACCATAAAGACTTATACAAGACAGGAAGACCATATTTCAGCTGCTTCAATGTATTGTGCTTGGAAAATTTGAGGAGGAAACCAGGTTGGGGGGGGGCTTTATCAGTGAGATTAATACTGAGTTGAATTTAGGTCTTAAATTGGATCACTTTCCATTCTTAGCTCTACTATCTAGAAGTTCCCTCAGGTACCTTCCAGTGTTCCTGGGCTTTCCTACCTGAGCATTTTCAGCACTGAGGGATCAGTCTCCTCAAAAGGATCAGATGGTCTTTTTTAAATATGCCCAGTGTAGGCTTCTTGTCATCTTGATATAGGAACAAGAGGTCAACCAAGACCCTGTGAGCCTCATAAGAACTCTTACTATCACTTAAAGATGCAGATAGTTTTGGGTTGAGAACTGTGATGGTCATCAAGATTAGGAGAAACTTCTCTTCTTGCCTGTGTCCTGTAACTGTCCCCAATAAAGAAGAAACGCCTGAAGAAATGTAGTTTGGAGAGTCTCATCTAGTTGCAGGTTTATCAATGGACACATCCTCTCTAAGAAACTCATCTCTATTCTGAGTAAAAATCATACAACCCTCCACCCTTGTCTGTGATATGAATTCTCCTCCTCTCTGTCCTTAATGCCCCAGGTCCCTGAACACACAGGATAAACACCTCTGGTCTGCTCTGTTATTTTTTTAAAACTTATAGCCATATGAATTCTCCAGATGTATGGTATTATAAGGATTGTTTTTCCTTCACTGACCCATCTACATACTATTTTGGTTATTCACCTAGCCCAAGAACAACCCAGAAAGGTGCTGGGGGACTTCCTCTGTGCTCCAACACCACCAGCCCTTTTAACTCACCTTATTCAGAGTCAAAACTTAGGTCACTGGTCACGGTGGAGATCAGTATGTAGAGCTGAAGAGTAAGCCTCTGTCCTTTCTTAAAGCCTAACAGTCCGCAGCAGTGGAGAAGGATTAACAGTGGGAGATCCAGCATTTGCGCTGATTGGCAGAGCTGAGGGAGGTCAGGGAGAGGGGACAGCCTTGCCCTGCCAAGCTGTTCCTGTGTCATCTCATCTAGAACACTTGGGTTCACTCTGAGATTAGCCTGGAGCAGAGGCATTAAGTATCAAAGACTGACTCCTGGGTATAAAGGAAATGTAAGCCCCTGGGCAAAGAAAACACCAGAGAGGAGTTATCTGGAGTTTTTAGGAGAGAGCCAGAGACCTGACTTCTAAATTCACTTGGTTCAAACTTAAATTAGCTTTACCACCTTACCCTTATTTGGTGTTCTTTTCCTAATAACCTCCCATAATTGGCTCCTCCATCTCCACATATTTACTTTGTCTTTAACTAGGTGGTGTGTGATCAAACCCACTGCCTCTGCCCCCCACCCTCCACCCCAGACACACACATACCCCAAAGGGCAGACAGACATTTCCCAGTAGGCCCAGAGTAGGTCTCTTGTCCTCTTGGTAAGAAAACTACAAGTCAAGGCTCTGTGAACCTCAGGAGATCTATTACTATTATCTAAAGAATGCAGATTGTTTTATTTTATTTTTTTGAAGATTTATTTATTTATTTATTTGTACAAGAACCAGGATACAGGCCAGATGCACTGGAGGGTGAGAGGATTCACCAGTGACAGATTGGGGAACAGAACAGGCAGACTGATGAAATACACTGCTGAGGGGAGCAGCAGGTGCGACAGGAGAGGTCTGCTGTGCCATGTGGGACACTGGGGCAGGCTGGGATCCAACTGGCGCTGCAGAGGCTGGGGACAGCTTCACAGCGCTGCACCTAACCACCTGCACCACCAGAGGAGGCCCAGAATGCAGATTGTTTTAGGTTGAGAGCAGAGAGGGCCCAGAAACCTAGAGACATTCTTGCTCAAGTCCTTTGCCCTACCTAATCAAAGAAGAGATCAATATATCCTAAGTTTCTGCCCTATTCCTAATTGAAGAATCAATCACTGTTCTCCCTTCTATGACCTACAAGAATTTAGTTTGGAGAATCACACTCAGTTCTCGCTTCATCCGTAAGCATGTTCACTCTATGACTCATCTTTACTTTCAGTAAGGATGTGGTCACCCTCTCCTTCTTTGTCATGTGAAGTCTCTCCCTCTCTGTCCTCAATACCTTAGTTCCTAAAGTACAATATAAATATCCTTGTTCTGTTCCTTAGTCTTTAGAACTTTCAACCATATGAATCTATGTATTAAATTGCTTTCTTTTGGTAAGTGATCTGATGCTGGGTTGATTATTTCTCTAGCGCCAAAAGAACCCAGAGAGGGTATGGGATACTTTATTTTGTGCCCCAACGCAGTTACTGAGACTTTATCTCTAACTAAGAAGGAAAAGATTTTGGGCCCCTGTGTTGAACTTGTCACCGCAGCTGAATCTTGCATGCCGTGAGACCACAGGGTGGGGGTGGGGGTGGGGGTAGTTGGTCAGCACAGAACTCTATCCCAGATGTCCAGACACTTTCCAGGCCAGAGGAGACCACACCTGTGGAGTACCGCAGCGCTGTGGTCTGAGCTCCAACCCTGCCCCTGACATCCTGAGTGAGGGGGCTGCTGGGAACAGGGTGGAGCTGAGAGGCCATTTTGGGAGCCTTAGCAGAGTGGTATAAGTGGGCTTGCTGTTTGTCTTCTAGCCTCTGTGAACAGCAGCTGTCCTACTAGCCAAATGGGCATTAGTGTGGCGAGCACCCTGGTCTCAATCAGCAGCAGGCCAAACAGCCCCCTGCGGCCCAGGTGGTGGTAGGTAAGACTTTGTTCTCCCTCTCTCACTCCCTCCCTGTGACCCAGAGCTGGATCTAGACATAGCAGGCCCAGCCACAGCTTTCAGGTTCCTGTAACAGCAGCTTCACTTCCCTCCATTGTGGTAGTTGTGTTACAGGGCAGGGAGAGGGGCACCCCAGACCCCACAAACCTGCCTGCTCTAAATAGATTCTGCCATCCGTCACATCAACACAAAACATATGAGACTTTAATGAAAAGGAACTTTAATACAATTAGTAAACAATACAGGAAAAACAAAGAATATAGTTTCTAAAGTTACCCATCCCCTAGTGGGTAAAAGTCTGGCTCTCCATCCTGCTTCCTTCCTTCCTCAGTCCCTTCTGCAGTTTCTTTTCTCCCTGCTTAGTTCCACCCTCCTTTGGGTGGGGCAGGAAACCTGAAACTCCCCCTTTTCCTGTGGACCACCCTGTTACACTTGGACCTTCTCATCTCCCTCTGCCCTGCTAGTTCTCCCTTCTCCCACTACCCTATTGGTTAGAATAAATCAGTTTTTGTTTGTATTTGTGGTGGCAGGTGGCCCAACCCAGAACGGGTGACAGATGTTCTGGCCCAGTAACATTTTAAATCCTTTGCCTTATAACTCCTGCCATGGGCCTATCCATATAGAGGGCTTTCTAACAAGTGTGTGCTATTTTCTAAAGGCTTAAATTAAGTAGTGATTCAGGCCTCCTTGGTGGCGCAGTGGTTGAACGCCATGCTGCGAAGCTGTCCGCAGCCTCTGCAGCACCAGTTTGATTCCCCGCCGGCCAGGGAGAATCCCACATGGCGCACAGACCTCTCCTGCCTCGTCTGCTGCTCCCCTCAGCAGTGTCTTCAGTCCGTCTGCCTGTTCTGCTCCCTGCTCTGGCTCTGGTGAATTCTCTCACCCTCCCACGCTTCTGATCTGTACCCCAGTTCTGGTATAAAATAAATAAATCTTTAAAAAAAAATAAATTAAGTAGTGATTCAATGAAAGTAGAGACAGGCCAGAGGGAGAAGTTCCCAGGGCTAATGTAATCAGGAGCAAGCTACGGTTTCTCAAGGCCTCATATTTTATACCACATAATATACCATATTTTATGGTATATTATAGAACATCAGCAAGTAATTTTGAAAACTATAAGAAGAAATTGTGGGATCAGTCTCCCCAAAAGAGTCAGATAGGCTTTTCTCCATATGCCCAGAGTAAGCTCCTTCCATTAAGTGTCTCTTTAACATGAGAAACTAAAGGTCAACCAAGACCCTGTGAGCCTAGAAAAGTCTGTTACCAGTACCTAAAGGAGCAGAATACTTGGAGGCTAAAGAGAAACTTTGTATTTATCTCAGTTGTTTGCTGTTTTCTTAATCAAAGAAATAACCACTGCTCACCATTTCTGACCTAGAAGAATATAGTTTGGGTGGTGGTGCGGGTATCATCTAAGCGTAGGGTTATCACTGAACATGTCCTCTTGATCTGAGAATCTCATTTTACTCTCACAGTAAAAGACTGAAGACATCATTTCCTTGTCCTGTGAACTCTCTCCCATTCTCTCTCCCTTATGCTGCAGGCTCCTAAACACAAAATCATGACTCCCCTCCATTTTACTTTAGAATCTACAACCATATAAATTCTCCATACATGTTAAATTTTGGGTGGATTTTTTTTCCCTATTAATCTGTCTCATTTTAATTTGTTCATCTGTCTAGCCTCTGAAGAACCCAGATGAGGTAGGAGAATATTCCTCTGTGCCTAACACAATGTATATAAAGGTAGCTTTGAAATACTGTAAGTGTGTTATGCTGATATCAATTGGTGATACCAATACCATGAGGTTATTCTACTTCATCACTTGTAATGTCTACTAGTTAATCCAGTGTTTCTCTAGTAAGTGTGATATTCTACTTTTGAATTGGAAAAGAAAATTACTGTAAGCCCAAAGCATACATCCCTCCTGTGAGCTCAGTTAAAAGGTCCAAGGTCTCTCTGATATTAACCAATTAGAGAGCAACCTAAAGACCCTGTGGCACTAAGTATCCTTTTATATCTGCAGATGCAAGCAACAACCAAAGCAGCCTGGGCATGTAAGTTAATCATTGTTTCTGGAAACTGCTTTTTGGATCTGCTTTCTTGAGTTCTGTTCTACCAGCATTTGTAACAGAAGCTGCTTGGTGTGGCTTCTGATTAAGTTCTCAAAGAGCTATTTTATCTGTTGGCTATACATTTAAAGTCATTTGTTAATTAACTACATTCTTCCTTTAAACATGTTCCTGGATTTTAATTCTTTTTTTTTTTTTTAAATAGAGGCATGTTTTTTTATTTATTTATTTATTTGTTTGTTTGTTTTTTTGTTTATACATGCACTGGGTACAGTCAGAAGCATGGGAGGGCGAGAGAATTCACCAGAGCCAGAGCGGGGAGCAGAGCAGGCAGAAGGACCGAAGTACACTGCTGAGGGGAGCAGCGGGCGGCAGGAGAGGTCTGCGCGCCATGTGGGACCCTCCTCCGGTGGCCCGGGAGCAGCCGGGGATTGAACCGGCATCGCAGAGGCTGCGGGCAGCTTCGCAACCCAGCGCTCAACCGCTGCGCCACCGGGGAGGCCCTGGATTTTAATTCTTTTCTATTAATTCCTTGATATATCCTTTTGCTAGGCACTATTCAATTCTTTATTTATTTATTTATTTATTTTAGTACAACTATTTCTGAAAATCTTAACAGTGACAGGCTTCCTCATGCAGATGATGACGGTGTCTCAAGGTATTTTAATCTCGGATGCCTAAGTTTCCAAGGATTCCATGGATGGAATTCATAGGGTGCGTGTGAGAGAGAAATTATATCTATACTTCCTCTAACTCGCAAATGGAATTAAGCAATTTCTTCACTCATGAAAATCACAGATATTTTTATATCAGCCTATAGTCACTGCAAATACCTTAAAATATTTTGCATTGATCACTATTTCAAAATTATAGGCAATTAGGCCCACATTTAGATCTTATTATTTAATGCATAATAAACACATAATGCTATGTCATAGACTTAAAGTGTTTGATTTCCTTTATAATTTAATGTATTTTATTTTGTGCATTTAGTAATACTGTTCTGATAAAAAATATTGTTCTCTTGTCCTGAGTTGTTATTCTCAATTATTGTTTGTCTTTACCAGAATGCCAAAGTGGTGCATGGTACTGGGGCGGGGGCGGGGGGGGAACACTTCCCTCTACCTCTGTGAGTTCTTGTTCTGACGAGTAGTCAAATCAACAACAGACAGATCAGTAGGAGAAAACAAATTAATTATACCATATGGGGAATCAAAAAAAAAACACCATGGATTCCAAAGTTGTAAGGAAAATGGGGTATATACCCTTAGCCAAGAAATAGTATAGGGGCCTGGGCTTCGAGGAGGGAGACTCACACTACAAGGAAAGAGTCACTTATATGAGGAAGATTAGGTGCTCTTCAATTGGATGTTTGCTTTCCCAGATAGCTGGGTTTTTCTGGTAAAAAGGTTGTTTCTGGTAAAAACCTATTCTGGGTATTTTTGTCCTTCTAGGTAGTTAAGGGAATAGTAAAAATATTTGTGAGCCTGCAACTTCAATTGACCTCAGCTTGAAATAATCCACATGTCCAAGTGACATGACTTGGAAAACCTGTTCTGAACACCTTGGGGAGTCCCATCTGAGCATTTGGGGGAGATCTATTCTTCACAACAGAGCATAACATATTTCTCCTAGGAGACAGTAGAGTAATACAGTGGAAGGAATGAATAACTTGAATAACTTGAACACTAAGGAATTCTTAAATGAGGCAGAAATAATTGTTTCCCCTAAAAAGCCCCATTTTGATTACCTGACATAATTTATATCCCAGGGAAATAGGATATAAATATTGCAAAGAAAAAACACTACAACATATGGTAAGAGGCAAATGACCTCTGAATTTCTGAAATCCCAGTAAATCCACAGAAAATTGCAGAAATACACTTGTACCTTCCTAATTCTCTAACCACTAAGTCTAGTTTCAATGGTCTCTCTTGCTGGCTCTTGCTCTCTTCCTCTCATGAGGTTAAATGCTTGGGAGTCCATTAAGGGAAAAATAGAAGGAGAATAGAATAATTCTAAGGTCTTAAACTTTCTCTGGAAGTTAGAAATTGAGAGAATAATGGCTTATAATCCAAATATCACCTGGTTATTATAATTGTATAGGAGACTATTCCTCTACCCCTCTTCTGAGCTTTTGTCTAAGACTGGACAAATTAACATCAGACAGATGAGCCAGAGAACAAGATCAAATTGAAAATGGAGTGGAATGCAAAGTCTGGGACATAATTGGGGCTTAGATGATCAGTAGAATATGGCAGAGATGGGAATAGATGATAAATGTCATCACTAGTGAGACTGTGTGCCCAACATTGATTAATTCTTTTAGTTATTGTAGGGGTGCAAAAATATACCACCCCAAGATGTCTTTTTGACAAAGGGAATTTTGTAAATAGGTGCCTAAAGGCTGAATAGAGGTTACTTTTGAAAAATATATTTACATATAAAATTCTGTAGGATATATACACAAAGACCTGAGCTTATTTCTTTTCGGTAGAGAAGGCAGAACTTAAATCTTCATGTCTTTATCTACTAAGCCTCCCTTGATAAACTGAACTACTTCTTACCCCAACTTTATTTGTCTTAGCCAAGTTGCTGAAGATGGCATCTGAAGTTATGTGGGAGTTACTCTGTCTCTCTCATGTATATGTTAGCGTGTGACCCAGAAGTACCCAGGGACCCCAAACAGTTAAGGGATGCCATCTGTGCACACAAAGGCAAAGAAAGCATACTCTTAGTGCGAAAGATTTTGATAGAATCAGTGTGCATAAAGCGAGAGAGAAGAAAAGATTTCAAATAATAACAAACTGAAAATTACCCATCCCCTTGTGGGCAAATGCCCAGCCATGCTTGGCTGGAAAGGGGAGCCACTAAGACCCTAAAACTTAGCAATTGTGCAGAGTTTCTGGCAGGAAACACAGAAAATGGCTAGGCAGTTTCCAGAAAGCTGGTACAGAAGGGGAGACTCAAAATTCGAAAATATGCCACATAACTCACCGTAAGGTCAAGATAATGATGGCCATAGTCTCTGTCAAGGAACGGGAGTAGCCTCCCCACGTTTCTCTCACCCACTTTACAAGAAGCTGCTGACAAAAGACGTCTCTTCCAGATGTCTACATGTCTCTCCTCCATGTGTCTCCCTTTCCCTTTGTTCCACTCCCTTTATATATCCACCTTGCTCCTTCCCAGCTGCTCCCCATTCAGGAAGTCTGCTTCATGGTCTGCTGGGATGGACCAGGAGGACATTATGCTTAATGAGACAGGCCAGACATAAAAAGACAAATGCTGTATGATCTCACTTATACGTGGATTCTAAAATGGTCAAACTCATAGAAGCAGAGCGTAATGGAGGTTACTAGGGACTAGGGGATGGAATGGGGAGATAACTGGCCAAGAGGTACAAAGTTTCAGTTATACAATTGGATAAGTTCTGGATCTAATATATAGCATGGCTACTATAGGTTTGTTAAACCAGACAACAGTCCCAAAATGGAGTTGCTTAAGCTAAGTCCCAAATGATCAAATCGACAACTATAGTTTCAACTTTCCCAGAAATGAAATCTTAAACCAGTCAATCAGGAATTGCCTGTTAGGTGTCCTGCCTCATAGATCCTCAGCATTCCCTAAAGGAAAGTAACCTTGCAGTGACCAGTCCACTCTTTGCCCTTGCATCACTTCCTGTTTCTGTTCCCTTCTGGCTATAAAAGTCTTTCACTTTGTATAACTCCTTAGAGCTCCTTTCTGCTAGATTGCATGCTGTCTGATATGTGAATCATTGAATAATGCCAATAAATTCTTAAAAACTTTAGCCAGTTGAATTTTGGTGTTTAACAGGTAGCAATACAGCACTATAAACTTGAAATTTGCTAACAAGGTAAATCTTGAGCATTCTCACCACACTCACACTCCCACCAAAAGGTAACTATGTGAGGAAAAAGATACGTTGGCTTGATGGTAGTGATTATTTCACAGTGTGTATGTGTGCCAGATTATGTTGTATACCTTAAATATAAATGAAACAAATTTTTTTTCTTTTTGTTTCTGCTATAAATCAGTTTCACTTTAATCCTTACACACAGATAACCTTTCGTCAGCAGCTAGTGTCTTCATCTCTGTTCCTTAATTTGTTTCTAAATAGTCCAAGCAAGAAATTGTCTTTGAGAGGAAACATTTCCTCCTTTCTGTGTCGCAATCATGGATTCAATGGTTTTAGTCCTTTTTTTAAAAAAGATTTATTTATTTATTTGTTTATTTATACAAGCACTGGGTACAGTCTGGTGAATTCTCTCGCCCTCCGCGCTTCTGACAATGGTTTTAGTCTTTGACCAAAGTTCATGAGATTATTTAGGGATACGCATGTTTAGAAACTAAAGATTAATTAAAAGATAGGGAAAAAGAAGAAATAATCCCCCAAACAAGAACCACAGTACAGTCTTCTCAGATATCTGCAGTTTAAGTCCTTTATTACAAAGAAAATAAACAATCTTTCAGTCAGGAAGAGTGAATGAGTCTTAGTGATCTAATACATTTTTAATACTCTCACTTAATAGGATGATTCGAAAGTTTAGGAACAGAAAAAGAAAATTTCTGGTATCATTTCTTGATTTTTATTATACCCAAACATAACAAGGTTGCCAAATTATATATGCTATCATTTTGCCAGTATGTATTTCCAAATTTTTAATGCTTCACTGCTGACTTTCGGGAATTACAAAAGGCAGCTGTTTTCAAAACACTCCTTGTGATGAAGTTAATGAGTAGCCAGTTTTTGTCTCAAAATTTCCACTGATTTTATTCAGCAAATCCCTTAACTTTGGGCTCCTATGTATACTAGCATCACAGGGATGCTCTGGTATTAAAATGAAGTGACTTAGATGAAAGCACTTTATTTCAAAGCATTTGCTATATAAATACATATAATGACTAAATTCCAGAAGATAGGATGGGAGAGAGCTAAGCTAACCAGTATTCTAAAAGAAACTTCACTATAGAAAAGTCCAGACTCATAGGTCTATGTTTCCATTTCTCTTTGAGGTGTTTAACAGAATGGGTTCCTAGAGAAAAAGGACAAGCAATAGCAGAGGAGACAGAGCCTGAGACAGCTCAAATGTATTACTCATTGCTGATTAAGGAGTAAGTTAAAAGCCACTCCTGGGCCATAATCCATTCGGGGTGGCATCTATTTGTCAAAGTGCACAGGTACCATTGCCTCACAGGCAATGACAACATGCCTAATGCTAGATGTGGCCCTATATCTGCAGTTGGGGGCCCTGGAGCTTCCTGTCTCCCTGCAGTCTGTGACCTTCATTACACCCTCATGGCAGTTCATCCTGCCATTCTTGCACTGGATAGTGGTGGTACTGCAGATACTGCGAATGTTCCAGATGTCTTCATGGATGAAGGTGTTGACGGGTTTGCAATGATTCTGGGTCATCCTCCGTCTTTGCATCATCAGGTTGCAGTAGCCGTCATTGCCACCTACTACCCGAGGGTCCACATGTTGCCGCAGGAATCGTTGGAACATGTAATCCTGACCGTAGGAGGGTTGCACCAGCCCCAGCCCCAGCAGGGTCAGCACCAAGAGCAAAAGCAATGAGTGGATCCTCTGGAATGCCATCATTATCATGGAGGTGCCTAGAGAAACCAAGGGGCAGAGAAGAGAATGTAAGAATTGGTTACTGGAGAGGTGTTGAGAATGGCAAACTGATATTTCCTCTATAGTCTCCTTGTTCCTCATTTTACAAGTACCATCTCCCCACTCTGCTCACTTCCCCCACTCCTGCTCCTTCGATAGTTTGAAAACAAAAATTTCCTCTTTTATAGAGAGAAGCTTCAATGGCCAGTACAACTCGGGGCAGAGACGACAGCATCCTGGTGTGCATGGCCTGCATGGTCAGCATGTGAGAAGGGAGAAGAAGCAAATAAAAACGGAACTGGGGTTGTCTGCCTCTTGAGATAATTCTAGTCATGTGATCTTTGAAGAGTGGCCCGAGAGACTCAGAATTGCAAAAGTTTGGGTACACTCAGGACATAGCAAAGAAAGTTGATGAATTGATTTTAATTCCTTACATCTGGGAATTGAGGAAGGTGGAGAAATGAGGACAGAGAAATATTTGCGTTTAGCCTTTTCTCCCATGGGGCTATTCTTCTAATGGTATTAAAATCAGGTTCTTTTTGGAAATCCTGTTAATCCTATATAAAACAAAACCCAAAACAAAAGTGCCCAGACACAGTGCTTTGAAGATGGTATATATCGCTTGAATGAACAAAATGAGTGAGCTAATAAACAAATGAAACAAAATGGGTATAGAAAGTGAAGGTGTGTCCCAAGCTGTGGAATTCACAGATAAGAAAAGCTAAGAAGCACTAAAAAATAAATACTAATCTCTGCACAATTGAAACACACAGGCCTGGCCATATATACATTGCTCATATAATCTACATTTTGCCTGTCTTGGTTGTTCATTATTGTTTGTCTTTCTTAGTTGCAGGATCATTATATTGGCAGTGGGAAATAAACACATGTTTTAACAGCATTAAAAAAACTCCAGAACAAAACCAATGTATTGCTATGGAATTTCAGAATACTACTTTTGTTTGATTGAAGAAAGAAATCCAGGCTGTCTCTAAAATCTATGCTCATTCCACACCTTCTGCTGCTGCTCTCATCTCACTCCCCAAATACTCAGCAGGTTAAATATGCTCAGAATTGCTTCTCTCTAGTAACAGTTTGATGGCAGTGGAAAGGCTTGTATCCCTCATCCACTCTAGCTAGCCCGATGCTGTCACCTAGCTGTCACTCATGGAACTGCCTGGAACCACCATGAACTCAGGAGCTGTGAAACCCCCTGACCTGCAGTGAGGCTAGTGGGGCTGATTCACTACAGCAAAGAAGAGTCATATAGGAATCAACAGGAGGTGAGCAACCCCAAGTAGTGAGGACAATTCTTTTTTGAGAGTCAGACAGGCCCATTTCTATAGGAGCAGTACAAGGGTTGGTCCAGGCTGAACTTGTGTGATATCTGAGTCCCGCTGTCCTTTGCTTTCAAAGATGCAGCTTCATGCTGGCAGGTCACACTGACTTAACCATTGATGAGGGACCTGAAATTTATTCCACCTAAAACTTATCCTTTAGTTGGTGATAATGTGCGGTATCAAATGTGACTATCATACTTTTAAATGCCACCTCCTACATGCTCAGGCATCTTTTACCTGTGCACAGAAAGATGGCTTTAGCTCATCTTCCTATTGCTGCAGCTGTAGAGCTGAGAAGGAGGAGAGGGAAATGAAGAGGTTGTGGGAAGAGGGGTGCCAGGGAGAAATGAAGCCCGATTTTCTCCTCATCCAAAGACCAGTGGCTACAACTCCTGATGGACTATTGGGTCAAGGCTTCATCAAGACACTGTACACTTGGGGTTGTTTTTCCCAAATCTAATCTTGCACCTCTAATCTTTTTTTTTTTTAAGATTTATTTATTTGTTTATACAAGCACTGGTTATAGTCAGAAGCGCGGGAGGGTGAGAGAATTCACCATAGCCAGAGCGGGGAGCAGAGCAGGCAGAAGGACCGAAGTACACTGCTGAGGGGAGCAGCGGGCACAGCAGAGAGGTCTGTGCACCATGTGGGACCCTCCTCCAGTGGCCAGGGAGCAGCCGGGGATCGAACCGGCGCTGCAGAGGCTGCAGGCAGCTTCGCAACCCAGCGCTCAATCGCTGCACCACCGGGGAAGCCCTGCACCTCTAATCTTGCATGGCTCTACTTTCCCTCATTCTACATTTCTGTGACCAAGAACATGTTCAGCAAGATAACTAGCTACAGAGAATACCTCAGCTAGTCATGGGTGAGCAAATCCATCATCTCAGCCACACTAACCAATTGTTTTAAGAAGACACAAAAAATAGTTGTGAACAGAAGTCCAGTGTATCAGTGGGTGCATTTCAAGGCTCTAACTACAACAGAAAATGAAGTAACAGCCAAATCATTCCAACACTGACTTTTTTTTTTTAAACATCCATTTTCACACAAGAACTGGGGTACTTGGTCAGAGGCACGGGAGGGTGAGAGGATTCACCAGAGACAGAGTGAGGAACAGAGCAGGCAGATGGACCAAAAACACTGCTGAGGGGAGCAGCGGGTGAGACAGGAGAGGTCTGCCATACCATGTGGGTATCTCCCTGGCTGGCCGGGAATCGAACCGGCACCACAGATGCGTTGGAAAGCTTCACAGTACTGCACTCAACGTGCGCCACCGGGGAGGCCCCAACTCTGACTTCTTGACCAAAGCTTGCCTCGCAGGTTTTTCCCATTGCACCACATAAGCTGTCGGTAAGAACATCTTTTGACGCTGTGATTGTAAAGACCCTGCGCTGTCACAGGACTGTGTGACCATGGGGAAATTATTTAACCTGTCAGCATATTTCCTCTTAATATGAGCACCATAATAAAACCTACCTTTGAGGGATGTTAGGAAGAATAAATGAGAAAATCAGTGTAAAGTGCTTCATGTGGTAAGTGACCAATAAATGCTGGCAATTGTCATTTTTACAATTTGCATTTTTCTTGGCTTCCTTCAGCCTGGATAAAATAACAAATCATACTGAGTTGAATATATTATCAACTCCCCACACCCCCCATTTTTTGGTGGGGAATCTTAGAGTCTGTCCCAAGGAATTAGAAGGCAGTTTTGAAGTTGAAATTGCTCAGCTACTGGAATTTATGCTGTGTTCCCAGAGAAATTTTTCCTTTCCATATTGCATGGACTTTTCTTCCTTGTATGTCACCATTCTTCAGAATAATTGACATTGTGGGGTTCTTTTTTTCCTTGCAAACTCAACAAAGCACAGCTCAACAAAGCACAGTACTTCAATTCCTTAGATGATTTGCTTGAGATTAGATGACTAGCCTGGGACTAGATATTTCATTCAAAACAGCTTTGAGTTATGAGACCTGGGGTGGAGTGATGGAAGTCACTTTGCCTCATATTAGGGAGATAGTGCTGGTTAGAGAACCGAGAAAAAGGATCAAATATTCTTCCCCATACTGGAACTTTCTCACTTCCTAAGAGATTTTGAAATAGATGGAATCAAGGTGGAGTAATTCCTGCTCTGAGTGTGCTCTGTAGCCATTTCTCCATCCCTCCTCCACACATCTGAGTGATTGCAGCCAGGCAGGGCTCTCCAGGTGGCACCTGGACACTGGACTATAGCCTGGGTTTGAGGAGCTAGGGCTTTCGGCCCACTGGAGGGCAATGTTGGTGGTGGGAGAGACCACATTGGGAATACTGTGAGCTCTCCAGTCTTGTTTTCATAAGGCACTGAAACTATTGATTTACTATTGTAATTATTAACTATATTCTAAATAAGCTATCCAGGGACCTATTGATAGAAATTAGGTATCCACAAGATAAGCACTGAACCTGTAGATTGATTAGGATATTTTATAAAAAGAGTGCTGTTAACTTAAATTTATTGAACCAAACCTAGTTGAAGAAGGGTAAGGGATGAACTTGGGATCTTTCTACAATTTTCTTAAGACCTCACAGTTGCAGACATCAGTTGACAAAGATTAGAAAGAAAGTAATGTCAAGTAATAAATTTTTTGAACTTTGTATGGTATTCTTTTAGCATTATCTGTGTATGTGTGTATGAGAGAGAGAGAGAGAGAGAGAGAGAGAGAGAGAGAGAGAGAGAGAGAAATTAATCTGCTGGTACTTAGATCTAGTAAATTCTTCTCAAGGTTTTGCCTTTGAAAAATATTAGCTAATTATTATTTTGACAGAAAAGACAATTTGCCTTCAAAAAATTCTGCTGGCCTCCCGGTGGTGCAAGGGGTTAAGACTCAACCTATGAAACTATCTGGAGCCACTACAGCACGAGTTTGAACCCTGGCCGGAGAGCTACCCACATGGCGCAGCAGACCTCTCCTGACTTGCCCACTGCTCCCCTCAGCAGTGTATTTCAGTCAATCTGCCTGTTCTGTTCTCCACTCTGTCTCTGGTAGACTCCTCTTATCCCCAACACCTCTGGCCTGTACCCCAGCTCTTATATGCATAAATAAATAAATCTCTAAAAAAAAAATTCTACTTAGTGGATTTAACTTCCTTACTCTCCCAGAGAGGTAAAGGCCACTTCCCTACTGACAGATAAAGAAAAAGGCATTTCTACTCCATCCAGTCCTCTCAGGATAGGGGGCAGCAGATAGAGAAAATGGGGAAGGATCAAGAGGGCAAGAATCAGTGAGAAGACTTTGATTCTTAATCATTTCAGAGACTTTTATTTATTAAACATAATGGAAAACAGACAGTGGAAGGTGCAGGTGGCTTGCATCCTGGGCCCTGGCAATGAAGGTTGCCTCCACTCTAGAGAAGTAGGAAATGCAAGGGCAGTAGAGCAGCCAGCTCTGGGCCACAACCTGCCAGTTATGGGCGGAAAAAGGACTCATCGAAGTGGACAGGTAGTCCGTGTTCACAGGCAATGACAATGTGTCTAAACCCTGGGGTGGCCCTGTACCGGCAAGGGGGCCGGGAAGATCCTCCTATGTGCTTGCAAGTGGTGACTTGGAAAGGAGACTTGCTTACTCTTAAAGTTTCTCCATAAGGGCTTCCACTCTTATTTCCACAGATGGCCTTGATGTTCCCTTTGTTGCCATGAATAAAGGTGTTTGTTTCTTTGCAGGGTGAGGTCAGGCCTTGTCTCTCCATCATGCTTTCACAGTATCTGTCATTCCGGCCCCTGGGGTTGGCATCATAGTGTTGTTTCAGGAAATGTTTGTACCTGGTGTCATCCTGAGGCAGGGTCGGTGGAATCAGACCCAGACCCAGCATGAAGACCAACAAGAGAGGGCCCAGGACTATCACCATCTCTTCAACAAAGGTTCCTTCCTGCCAAGGGCAAAAGCAAGTGTGGGAGGGCACAGAAGAGCATTGCCAAATTAGGCTAAAAGGACAGTGACATTTTCCCTGACAGCACCATGAACAAGTATCCTCAGTCATCTATTTTCTTTCTCCTTCCTCATTAGCCACATACCTCTTGTCAATACATTCCTCTGGAAAGTCGATTTAAAAGTGTCCTGAATACAACTTCCATTCCTAGCCATTCTTCCCTATTCATTAAATATCCCTGGGTATTTACCTTTCTCTCAGCTATAGCATTACAAAATCCATTCATACTCTCTAATACATTCATTAATTTATTGATAACAAAAGACACATAAGCCTCTACTGGATACCAGAACTGCTCATGGTCCTGGAATACAATGACCATTGAGACACGCCAAATGGCTCCCTGAAAGAAGAGGTGGATCCCTGAGTAAGGAATGGGATGCAACGGTAAGGTTGGAGGTAAGAACAGTGAAGAAGAGGGACTTTAGGGATCCTTGAGCCCCAGGAAGGATCTTTCAGAAGATTGTTGAAGACAGGATTATAGACACTCAAATCGGTTAGCCAGAGGACTCTAAGGAGAGCAGTTTTAACCAGTGGGAGGTACACTTCCTTCCTCGAGAGGTATGTGGTTCATGGCCAAAGGTGGAATTATCAGGTACTATTCAGAAAGAACAGGCAGGGACATAGAAGAATCCATGTAATGACTGGAAGTGGGTTTGGGGTCAGCTCTTACAAAGGACTGGACAAAGAGGGATTCAAAGGTATTCTTAGGAGCTTCTCCCATTGGGAACAATTTGGAGGACTCTCAGAGAATACTTTCTAGTGCACCCACGTATGGACACAGACTGCCACACAATAGCTAATGATGTTCCCATATAGTGAGGAGGAGAAAAGACTCCTTAGACCTTTTCATCCAATTAAAGAATGTGTCATTTGCTATAATGATTTTTAAAAACATTTCCCTGGATGAAAGAATAAGATAAAGGAGTACTCCTGCCATATCTTTCAAGAACTGCCTTAAATTGTAGCTCACACACATCCAAAAGTGGGTGTGTATATTTCCAAGCCATCCACAGGGAAAGGTACTGCTGCTTCTTAGAGTAGGCTTCTAACTCAATGCGAGATAAGTACAAGTAGAATGAAGTAAATGTAGACTATGACAGGCTAGAAAGCAATTTTCTTAGGAACTTTTAAGATTCTATTTCTTGTGAAATTTGAAGAGTTGAGAATTGAAAGATATTTGATGTTTGCAGCATGTAGTTTCTGACTGTACCTTAAGTTCTTTGGAGAAAAACTTACAGAATATTCAGAACCTTTAAAAATGACCTAGTTCTCCCCCAAATTAATCAAGCAAGTGAATACCCCTATACCCAACAATAAAAACTACTTTCACTCTAAATTTATGACTAATTTTTACACCTTTGATTTTCAAATTGTCTTCTAACTTGTTTAATTTATGGCCAGCTATGATTTCTTGGCAAAGATCACACATATTGAGAAATTCTTACAGTGGGAGAAAAATTTGACTTTGAAATTATTTAATCATATTATGTTAAATGCCATAAAAACCTTAGGAATACTAAATTTAAATTTTTCATAGCTGTTAAATCAAGTATTCATTTCTATTTTGTGCTTTTCTGTGTGTAAGTCAATAGACATTATTTTCATATCAAATATTTTCATAGCCCTTAAGGAGGCCACCTTAGCTCTGAGCCCCTAGTGTTTTTCAACAGCCTTATGAATCTAGAAAGATGAAGGAATCCAGTATTCTGTTGGCTATTTGGGACTCAGCTGGTTACATGTGACATACTGAGCAAAGTGAGGTTTCTTTCAACCAGCATTTGGCACAGATCCATCTTGTTTAATAACTATAAATCAATTTGGCACATTATTGCATAATACCAAATTATACACTAATTTTTTGGTCATTGTATAATACTGATATAAATAGCAGCTGAAAAGATTCCATTTAAGCATAGAGAACTTGTAATAGAATTAAGCAAAAAGCGGTTCTTGGAAGTTTAACAAGGCAATGGTACATAATGCACTGGGGAGTGTCACCCCTAAAAGAATGACACCTCTTCCTCCGCCAGTGCTCCAGCCAGCCACACTACCCCTTTGCCCAGCTTTTTACATTTGCCTTCTGCTTTTCAGTCTCCCAGGTCTGCTTCCTCTTTCTAATTTTTTGGAAAATTTTACATTTTATTGATTTGTAGTCAATTATGTCTCCTGCTCTACAATGGACAAACACTGCCTTCTAAAGTCAAAGGCAATTGTAGCATTGCAGGTTCTCAGGGTCAGAACAGCCCTTACTGTTTTTTGTTTGTTTGTTTGTTTATTTGTTTTTGGAGGAGGGAGTAGGATCAAAACATGGGGGAGTGGGAATTGTACTGGGACTATAACCAAGATGAAAATGCATACATTGTGCAAAAATTAAAAATGATGTAAAAATATATAAAATTAAAAAAATAAATAAATAAAATAAATAAAAAGAACAGCCCTTGCTGATTGCACAGGCACCACCTGTATCTGAGGCCAAACTCCCAGTTTTCAAAACCCTCAAGAAGAACCAGAGCCAGCAGTATCCAAAAGAGTCATTAGGTGGCAGTGGTGGATAGGAATGTAGCCAGTGTCTTCCTTGGTGAGAAGACAGTGGGTCCTTGGCAGAGGTGCCAGTGTTGACTAGTGTGGAGACACTGGTGTTCACAGAAGAGAATCTGATCTAGCAAACCTGGCCAGCGTCTCTGTCCAAACAATCTAAGATACTAAGATATTATGACTAATGACTCCTCACTAGATTCAAGGGTCAAAACAAAAGCCAGAAAGTTCAGTATCTGCCCACAAGGAAATCACAATGCATTTACCTGTTGTAAGGTTTCATGGGCTTCCAAGCCACTATTCATGGGCTCTTGGGCAAACAATTAACTGTTTACTTGTCAGTATCTCCTACTGGTGTATAATCTACAGAAGGGTAGAGCCCACATTATTTACCTTGAGTCTTCCTCAGAGCAGACTCTCAGTCATTAACAAAATAAGACTTCGTTTTCTTCTCCAAGCCTGTTTATCTATAAAATGTGAGTTGCTAACTTTAAAAGTCTAAAACTCCATGGTTCCCTTAAGCATAAGCACTAAGCTTTTCTTTTTTCACTATTCTAGTTTTCACTAGTAAAAGCCCAGTAACCATGGAACTGCAAAGACAAGTTTATACAAGTTTAATTAGTGGCCCCAGACACTAGCTACAAGAGAAAAGATGACCTTTGTCCAATCTTACTAAGATGACTTATCCTTTAAGGCCCCACACAAAAGCCATGCTCAGGGGTTGCCTCTAGTCAAGGTACAGGAAAGCCACTTGCTCCTTGGAGATTGAAGGCCCTCACATCCAGTCTGAAGAAGTAAAGGTATATCGTTGTTTCCTTTTAATTACATATTTTTAATTTAAATTAATTTAGTTTTAAATGAAGTAGCTCTTTCTAATATTGTTGTTAAGTTTGAATAGTAAATAATTTCTCCCCTTGGATGTGGTCACTGAAATTCACCCACCACCAAAGCACCCATGATCCATGACCACAGTCCCCTGGGCTCTTCCCTACCCCTCCCACCCTTGCTGGATGCCTCTGATCTCTGGTCAGTTTGCAAGGTCTGTCTTTGGCCCTTTGTTTGGTTTCTCTATATTCCACATGTAAGTGAAACCACCTGATACTTACCTTTCTTCTTCTAACTTATTTTGCTTAGCCAGGTCTCTTCCAGCTCCAGAGTTGTTTTCACAAATGTCATCAGTTTATCTTTTTGATTTCTGGGTAGTATTCCACCGTCTTCTTTATCTCTTCAACTGTCCTGGGGCATTTAGATTGTTTCCACATCTTCACTATTGTAAATAGTGCTGCAGTGCACATAGGAATGCAGCTTTCCTTTGAAACATTTGTATGTTTCAAATGCAACTAAGCTTCCTCAGGCCTATTGTAATCTTTAGTCCTTAAGACATGTAGAAAACAAATTCCAGGAAGTACATACCATGACCAACATATCTAACATCTCTCTGCCTCTCAACTCCCTCATTCATATACCCAATTCTAAATTTCTCAAAAAGAGAGGTACACTGGAATGGAGAGGAAAAAACTAAGCGATTGTTTGTGGTGCAGAAGTGAGTGCCCGGGCCAAGGGGCAGCTCCTCACATCTGGCAGTCAGACACACTCACACAGGTCCTTCTGTACTGAGATGTAACTGGCACTCAGCTTTTTGTCAGTGGAATTTGTTCCCACTCTTCCTTAGACAAACTTTGTTCCCTGTCTCAAACCAATTCCTTAGTGTTCACAAAAATTAACATTCTCTTCCATTCCCCCCGCAAACATTGCCACAGGCAATGTTTTGTATTCAAGAGAAGCATCAGACATTATGCACAGGGGAGTTGACAGTTTAAGATGAGCAACTGCGCTTAAACTATATTCATAAAATATAGTTTCATAACATATATATTTAAGAGCAACAACCCCCAAATAAAGGCCTAACACCCAACACAGATCCCTCCCTCTATCTCCTTTCCTTCTTTCTCCCCTTCAACCTACCAATGTACTTTCTTTTGACCTTGGGATGAGTCCTGCTTTGCTTTCAAAAAGCATCCAAAACTTTGGATAAAGAAAATTGCAAAAAAGGTTAGCAGAAAACAAGCTAAAAGCACACTTACTCTTTATTTCTTTGTTAAGCCACATATAATGTCTGTACTTAGGAGGCTCCAAAAACCATCAATAAATGGCTTCCCCAGTGTTCTGGGGATTTTATCATAATCTAGGATGCCCTCTTAAAATTCTACTTAGTCCCAGTCTCCTAATTTCTGTTTATCCACATGTAGGGGCCCAAAAGAAATTTGTTTTCATTTTAAGCTTTAGAACCTGATTTGATTTTTCTTAATTCATGAGTATGACCTCAGAGCATTTAAAAGGAGGAAAATGGTTTCATTGAAATGGATGGATGGCTAGAAATATATATGTGGGGTGTGTGTGTGTATATACACACACACACATATACATACACATACATACATATGAGCAAATAAAGCAACAGATTATGCAATAAGAAGTACCTTACAAAAGTGTGGAAATTTCCCTTCTTCACACTGAAGGTGGGTTCCAGCTGTTTGTGCCTGAAGGTAGCTTCCAGCTGTGTGAACCTGGAGCCCTTCTTAGTTCTGATTATATAGTGACCAGATGAACAGGGTGGGGAGACTAGATTTAAAGATCCCCAATCCTGGACAGGACAACCAAGGACAGTGCTCTTGGACAAACTAAAAGTCATTCACCTTTTCCCTGAACATGAGTGGGTCAAATATTAACCCAGC